AAATAACAACGGAAGCATGCAAACAGACCAATAATATGTCGATTTGCCTGATTTCGAGGGAGCGTGCCAACAGCCACAAATTAAGAGTAGCACCCGAAGAAAGCGTTGATATCTATGATAAGCTTTTTATCTGTTTATCGGTCATGTTGATTTCAGTATCGGTCAACTTTACGAAATGTCGAATAAAAAGTTTCCGAACTGGGAAATATAAATTTTTTAAAATATGGAGATATATAAATATTTCTAAGTGATTTATTTTTTTATTTTTATTTGACTCTTTTTTTTTATCTATTTTATCTATAACTCTGATAAAGTTTTAAGTAATACTTCTCAAACTCTGATCTTTTTCTTAATCTTTTCTTTTAATAATAATAATAATAATAATAAACAAACATTTTTATTAGTATTTATCATCAAATTGAATCAATATTATTAACATTTAAAATTGTATTTACAACAACTTGAGCTAATGAATTCCAAGCACGTAATTAAAGTTCGCAAAGTAATATTATAATATAGCGATCGTACTTACTCTTACATTTATGTATATGCGGAATAATGTTTTAATAATCTTTAGAAAAATTGAATAAATATGGAAATAATGTTCAATGAACACTCAGGAAATACGTTAAATAAGAATATTAAGAAAATGCTTACATTATTTCGGAATTTTACTGTTACAATATTTTTATAAATCTGATTATTTAATGTTCAAGAGAAATATTTGCTATCAGAGAACTTTGTAGTTAAAAATCTAACTGAACTTTGTTGTTAGATATATTCGTATGTATTGTTGTCCACATTTCTGATGCTTTCAGTACGCCAAGATTAGAAATAATGACAGAAAAAGAAAGTCTCTCTCCTCTATCTCGAAAATTAATTTACTATTGTGAAATGATAGCGATTTGTATTAGTAATATGGAAATTTTCTTTATCCGTTCTATTGTTCATGTAATATATTTTATTCACTGAGATCCTGAAATATTTATGACCAACTCGAGTTTAACATATCCTGCATCGAAGTTGCAGTCGGAACAGACTGCCCTTCGAATGTATTGAAATTATAGACAGATTATGGGTATATAAGAAAAATTACATTTCAAAGAGAATGGCGAGATGCACAAAGTATCTGTGCATTGCGCCGCGAGTTACATCAGGATTAGCAATGTCTCTTCTTATCACGATATATCTATTTCAAAGTAGGAAAAAGGAATCTTACATAAATCTAGATATATCCACGATTCCTTTTGATGAAAAATAAAATAAGGTGCAGATATTATTGATGGTAGCGTCGAGGCAGCGCAGTCGAATACGTGCAAGCAAGGGAAGAAGTTCAAAGCTTGGGATAAGACAAGAAGGGTTGCTTATTCGATCTTCCGTTCAATCCCCAATGTTTAATATTTTCAAGATAAAGTTACTCTATCTTGTCGATTGTACTATCGGTGTAGGACAGTTAGGTACGTGCAAGAAAAGAAAGTGTTTAAAAGAGTTTAACAATTCGGCGTGATGAGCAGTCGTCAGTACAGAAATTACATATTCGATGTCGCACGCATACATCCACGATTGATATCTTCTTTTAAAACTTATATATTTACGATATTATTTTGTATCTACGAATGTTTGAATTAGTTTTTCAAACATTTCTATTTAAAGTTTAATACGAATAAATAGAATGTATTCTCGTAAATTAAATCAGTATAAATTTTGAAAATGCTTTAGAACTGTGATAATAATCTCATTAAGGATGAAATTATAAAATGTAAATTACTATGAATACTATGAATAAAGGATTTTTTTTGATAGTCCTTCAAATTTGTTCAAGTTTATTTGCAATTTTTTGTCAATGCTGAGTTTTAAGAATTTATTTTAATAATTATGTTTTAATAGTAATATAATTGTAATTATGAAAAAAATACCTTTCATCACATTTTAATCATAAATGAAGCATGGTCACAGTCCAATACAATAGTAAAAAAAAGATTTAATTAGAACGTACATACGTAATTAGTTAATGCTGTATGCATGTAACATATTTAAATTTACAAACGGTATTTAAGTATTTAATCAGAATTTTTTTTAATAAGTTTTAAAGAAAAAATTACAAACTTTTTACATGTTGCATAAACATATGTCGCATAAACGTATTTTTATTCTAATAAATTTTTATTCCTAACTCTAGGAAACCAAAGTTATTCTGTGGAAGTAAATGTATAATAATATTTTTAATATAATAAAAAATATTACTTATATTTTGATTGTATTTCCTTAACTGTATATTTCCTTAATATTACAAGTTTAACAATAATATTACAAGTTTACGAAGAAAACGGATTGTATAATATCTTCATTCATTTTTATCGCTGATAGATTCCAATAAAAATAGGTAGGACATTGTAGTATTCACAAGCTGGCAATTAAAATAAAATGATTATTATTATATTAATGTACAAAGAATTTAAATTTAATTAAATATCATTCATTATTATAAAATATTAGTCAATTTTTGCAAATAAGAAATCGGCAGAAATTCGGCGATACTTTATGAAATTCCTGATCGAACTCATTAAAAATTTCCTGAATCATTATTCTAATATTCTCTACTTTTTTCTTTATATTCAATTTTATAATTCTAAATTTACGTTTAAAAAATATTATAACTTTCTTGCACGAGTCCAATTTATAAATTTTACATATCTATTTTTACTCTTTAATGTTAATTCTTCTGTTTTTATAGGGATGAAAAAAAAGTAACTTTAAAGCAATAGCACAAGAGGAGTTGGAGAGATTTGAAAGTCGTGAGCTTGCGTTCTTGGTATGAAAGCTATTGTAACATAGACACTTACATTAGTAAAGATGACAACATCGATAGATATGGAAAACACTTTAATAGCCATTGGCTTTTGCATCATCATCAGAAGAATGCTTGTTCTCACATGACGGTCGAGATTAGAATTGTGCCACTCACTAAAGTATATTCCATTTCGGAAATCTTCATCCTAAATATATACGTGAAATAATTATTTTTGAGTGTATGTGTTATGAAAACATATATATCACTTTTTGAAATATTAAATCGTAACGGTAAATTAAAACTCACGGCATTTGTGATGACAGTACCATACCAGGCGTATATAAATGTTTGGAGCAACTTTACCACAGAGTATGATATAATATTAAATACCATACGGATGGTGATGTTTGAAAGCTATAGCAAATGTTTGCAAATTTGATTAAAAATATATTAGCGAATATTTATACAATATAATATCACATTAACAAAGTAGTTGAAAATTTATGCACACAACGCTGGGATCAGTATTTTTTCCAAATGTAATGAAAGATATTGGAGAATACATATATATTTCAAGTAATTAAACTTTATATAAAAAAATCTTAAAATCTTCATATGTACAAATTTACATCTGATAATTTCCGGTTTACATCCGGTATATAAGAACAAATACACAATAAATTTTTCCTTCTAAAATTTTTTGTATGAAATTTAGTATCTTATGTTTTTCCAGGTCGCAATATAATATCAGAATTTCAAAATACAAAATGGCAGATCAAAATTTTGAAAAATTGGATTTTTATAAAAATAATTACACCAAGATTTTTAGGATCACTGAATTCAAATATGATGTTTGAATCTCAAAATTCAAAATGGCGAATTCAATATGATGGATAAAAATTTGAAAAAGTAATTGTTATAAAAATGATTACTCTCTTAAAATTGTTGAAATTGCTAAATAAGAATATATCAGAATTTTGTTATTTAAATTGGCAGATCAAACTTTGCTGCAAAGAATTACTTGAAAATAATAATTCATTTAATCTTTATTGAGAATATTGTATTAATATAGAGCAGTCGTTTGCAAATTCTGTTCTCCATCGAAGCCAGTATCAAGAAACGCAGCAAGTTTTGACTGCGCTTTTATTATTCTTTTTTTTTTTAATTACTTGAAATCTAAAATATGTTGTTAGACCAATTGGCTGTTTCAATATTCGGCATTGAGATTTTGCCCAAAGGAAGTCTATTTTAAACATAATTGGAAGTTAACTTTTGCATCTTGTACGTACTTGCAACGCCTCGTATATCACCGCACAAAGAAGTATGGCATTAGTGACGATGTGCCAGAGGATTATCACGCTGTAAATTCGCTTCAGCATGTCGCGGCATTGTATTAGCTTCAGATGCTTCGTCACGCACATCCTCAGCACGTCGGAGTACTTGTCGTTGGGTAGTGGATTCGTAAGTCTGAAGGTCATGGCACGCATCGTCGAGGCCAGCAGGTAGACATAGAAACCGAAAGCACTGTCCACGCTGGCGTTGGTGATGGCTTGCGTTATTAACGCCCACCATTCGAATAGCAGATGAAAATGCCGTAGGAAATTGTTGGGGACAGTCCAGAAATATCCGTATCCTCTGCTGTATGGTAGAGTGTAGTCCGTAGGTAAATGTAAGTGGAATATGCCGCGGACGATAACGACGAACGATGCCATGAGATACGTCATTATTAAGGTAATCGAAAGGCTGGTATGTGTGTACGCGAGGGTGGATATCCTGCGCAGAGGCGCGAGCATCACTCTTCGGACTTTTTCATCCCTCTTAAGCTCTTCTTCGAAGAGATCACTCATTGTACCATGATAATCGATCAGATAACGACGATTGATTAAAAAGATTGTGATCTTGGAGAAAATAAAGAATATATACTTTTGTTCTCTTACGCAAAATGAGTAATTTACACTATATTTTTATGTTTAGTTCGGTGATGTTAAATTTGTAATTGTATAGTTATTGCGTAAATTATTATTTTATCCTTTTTTGGAAAAAAATTATTTAAATCTTTTCTTTGGAAAAAGCTAGAGTGTATTCATAAATAGGTAACATTCTTTAAAAGGCCAACTGCGCTGAACTATTCGCAGTGAACTATCAAACGATCAACTTATTTAAAAAAAATGTTTAATATATTATTTCTAAATAATCTATATTTGATTAGAATAAAACGTTGTAATTTATATAACGCAGAATTAGCTTTTAAAATTAGCTGCAAAGTCAAATTTTGTAATTTCTTTTAACTCGAAGATCATCAACTAAATGTAATTATTAACACTCCGAATAGTATTAATATTCCGAATATATTAATATGAATACATCTCATCTTATAGATATAATTTATTATTATTTTTCTAGTCTACGCATTTAGGTCCAAGTGTATACCTTCAGTATAGTACCTGCTAGAGTTATGAATATTCCTATGTTTTTCATCATAATTGCCAAATGATGTCTAAACATATAACTGACACGTAAGGTCAGCATCCCAAATGCAAATAACATCGGAAGTATGCAAACAGACCAGTAATATGTCGATTTGCCTGATTTCGAGGGAGCGTGCCAACAGCCACAAATTAAGAGTAGCACTCGAAGAAAGCGCTGATATGTATGATAAGCTTTTATTTGTTTATCGGTCATGTTGTTTTCAGCATTGATCGACTTTAAATGTCGAATAAAAAGTTTCCGAACTGGGAAATATAAATCTTTTAAAATATGGAGATGTATAAATATTTCTATTTGACTTATTTTTTTTATTTTTATTTGATTTATTATTATTTTTTTATTTTTATCTATAACTCGGACAAAATTTTAATTTTTTTCAGACTTTCTGAAATCTGATCTTTTTCTATTTTAATAGTAAATAAAAAATATAAACAAACATTTTTAGTATTTAGTATTATTAGTATTAGTATTATAGTATTTATCATCAAATTGTTGAATCAGTATTATTAATATTTTAAACTGTAATTAAAACAATTTTGGACTAATAAATTCCAACCTTATAATTAAAATTTCCAAAATAATATAAAAATATAGTAGCTGTACTTACTTTTACATTATGTATATACGGAATAATGTTTTAATAATCTTTAAAGAAATTGAATAATACGGAAATAATGTTTAATGTACTTTCAAAGAACACCATACTTTAAATAAGGATATTGATAAAATGCTTACATTTAAACGGAATTTTCTTATCACTGATTTTTCAAGTTCTATAAATTTTATTATTTAATCAAATGTCCAAGAGGAACTGCTTTGCTATCAAAGAACTTTGTAGTTAGAAATCTAACTGAACTTCGTGGATATATTTCTATATATAGGTGTCCACATTTCTAATGCTTTTAGTACGCCAAGGTTAGAAATAATGATAGAAAAAGGAGGTCTGTTTTCTATCTCGAAAATTAATTTAATATTATAAAATGATAGCGATTTGTATTAGTAGCATGGAAATTTGCTTTATCCGCTATTGTTCATGTAACATGTTTCCCTGAAATATTAATGACCAATTCGAGTGTAACATACCATGTGCCGAAGTTTCGATCGGAACGGACTGCCGTTCGAGTATATTGAAATTGTAGATGGATTATGGGTATATAAGAAAAATTACGTTTCAAAGAGAATGGCGAGATGCACAAAGTATCTGTGCATTGCATTGCGAGTTACATCAGGATTAACAATGTCTTTTCTTATCTACGATATATCTGTTTCAAAATGGGAAAAAGGAATCATACATGAATCTAGATATATTCACGATTCCTTTTGATGAAAAATAAAGTAAGCTGCAGATATTATTGATGATAACGTCGAGGCAGCGCAGTCGAATACGTGCAAGCAAGGGAAGAAGTTCAAAGCTTGGGATATTTTGATAGTTCAGTGTGGTAAGCAATTGTCAAGTCAAAGAGAGTTGCGTATTCGATTTTACATTCAATCCTCAGCGCATGATATTTTCAAGATAAAGCTAACTGTATACATCATCGGTTATACTGTCAGGATAACGCAGTTAGGAAAATGTGCATAAAATGAAAGAGATTTATGCCCGATTCCACTAACATAGATTTACTTTAATCTCGGTTCAACTTGCTTTTCATCTTTTTCTAATTCTTAGAACTAGAAAAAAATAAAGAGTAAGTTGAACCGAGAGTTAAAGTTAATCTACGTTGGTGGAATCGGGCATTAGTGTTTATAAATTGAGTTTAGTAAATGGTTCAATGACAGTGGGTAATCATCAAGCCGGAAATTACATATTCGATTTCCCGTTCATACATCCACACTTAATCCATTTTCTTTTAATAGTTTAAAATTTGTATATCTACATTTTTATATTTTTGTATATCTTACATTTTCATATTTTTGTATATCTACAGTATGATGTCATTCGTGAATTCGAATTAATTTTTCAAATGTTCCTTTTTAAATTTTAATGAAATAACACTACGTATTTTCATAAATTAAATAAGTTTAAATTCTTATAAAATTCTAATATTGTAACAATAATTTCACTGAGAAAAATTTCACTATGTAATTATATATGATACTCTATTTTTATGAATGAATAAGTCTTTGATAGCTCTTCAAGTTTATTCGGGTTTATTTACTGTTAATAATTTCTTGTCGATACTAAAAACTTTATTTTATTTTAATAATTGCATGTATAGCAATAATTTCAATAATAATAATACAATCGTAGTGATGAATAAAATATCTTTTATCATATTTCAATTTTAAATGAAACATAATCGTAGTCTAATACAACAGTAAAAAAGAAACAATTAATTAAATATTATTAATTAAATATATATACTTTTATACATAAAAAATATTAAGATACAAATATCAAGATACATAAATAAAAAGTAAGACAAATCAATTTGTATAAGGACGATACATAGTTGCTTTAAAAAGGTTATGCAATTTGCAATATATATTTTTTTCATAAACAACTATATATTTTATATATATATATATATATATATATATAATAATAACT